TGTCCCTAAGTAACGGTTCTGTGCCCCTAAGTAACGGTTCTGTGTCCCTAATACAGAGAGGTCTGTCTCTCTTGAATGACCAGAGGCAAATGGAGAATTGTAAGATGGCCGCAATTTATAGCTCCACCATTACACAGTGCTGGCTGGCTGGCTGCTGATTGGCTAATGCGATCACATGTCATGAATGAATGCATTATGGGTCAGCGCGCCTTGTCTGCGCGCCTTCCCAGAGATCCCCGCTCCGTCGCCGCACATGTCGCCGCCATTTTTGGAAAAATTTCGATTCGCGCATCCGAAATCGAAATTTTCCTAATATTCGAAACGAATTCCACTTCGCCGAGTTCGATTCGCTCATCTCTACCAATGACCATTTGTCTGACTTTTTTTTTTTTTTCCCTTGAGCAGAGAGATTCGGCAGTGGTGTCCCCTCTCGCTGGCTCTTTTTGCTCTGGCATTGGAGCCATTAGCTATTCCGGTGCGAAGTTCCTGGTCCATTGAACGCCTGCAGGTTGGTCCATTGGAGGAGGAAACTTTGCTCTATGCTGATGACACTTTGCTGTATTTACATAATGCAAATTCTTCTCCACGAGCTGGGATTCGCATCAACTGCTCCAAATCAGTCCTTTTTCCTCTCTATCCCCAAGCTAGGAATTCTGCGGCTTCTACCTTGTTGCTGTGGGCTGATGAATTCAAATATTTAGGCATATGGGTCATTCAGGATTTTCAGAGCTTTTATAGCTTGAACCTCCACCTCTTACTGTTACAGCTGAGGAAGCGGTGCACCACCTGGTCAGCCTTGCCACTAAATCTGTTGGGCCGCATAAATATTCTCAAAATTATCTACCTCCCCAAATTCAATTATGATTTTTGTAATTGCACTGTTTGAATAACTGGTACTTTCTTTGGGGAGGGGCCCCCCCCTCACTTGGCGAGGTCCACCCTCCAGTTGCCGGTAAGTTGTGTAGGCTTGGTGGTACCCGATTTTCTGGTCTATTATTGGTCAGCTAGTCACTGTACGATGAACCAGCAAACAGAAATGCTCCTGTGCTTGGGGATGGACTCGATGCAGGCTACAACCACATAAGGAATGTCCTGGAACATGCACACCTTGCTGCCCTCAAATGGACTGGGGAAATCCAAATATACTGAATGAGGAAAGAAAAAACAGAGGGCACACAGGCCTAGTGCATTACCATAAAAAATGTTTAATAAAAAATAAAGTATGTGTTGTACTCACAAACGACAATATAGTCAAGGCACATCATAAAGAACAGCTGGGTCAACACCGCGCTGAGTAACAGTCCGCAATAGGGAGTATAGACATCCAAAAGACTGACGCGTTTCGAGGACTGACAAGAGGCAAGTCCTCGAAACGAGCCAACCTTTTGGATGTCAGTACTCCCTATTGCGGACTGTTACTCAGCGTGGTGTTGACCCAGCTGTTCTTTATGATGTGCCTTGACTATATTGTCATTTGTGAGTACAACACATACTTTATTTTTTATTAAACATTTTTTATGGTAATGCACTAGGCCTTTTCCCCCCCTTTGTTTTTTCTTTCCTCATTCAGTCACTGTACGATGGTGGTTCACCTGATCTCGGGCTAATGATGCGGTATGTTTCGAAGCAGCCCTACTGGGTTCCGTTATAGAGTAATCTTGTATATAGAGGCCCTAGAGTTTATGCCTCCCTTCCACTCCCTACAAAAGTCACACTTCGTGTCTACACTGCAGCTAGGAAATGTATTCTGCAGCCTCATCAGTGCTCCCTTTATTGCCCCTTGTGGGGCAATCCGACTCTATTTTACTTCAGACAGCTACCTGACCCCCAGGTGTGGGCATGTCATGGTATCACATTGGTTGGACATCATGCCTATGGGTACCTTGCTATCATTAAGGGATCTCTCCTGTAAACACAGATTACCTGGGTGGATGTACTTTAGATACTACCAATTGCGCCATGCATGGCCAGAACCCCCCCCCCCCCCCCCGACTGGAGACTGACCCGATAGAGCACCTTCTTGTGCAGGAGTCCCTTTCTAAACCTTTGTAGCAAACTTGCACATCAGAGATGGACGCAGATTCCCCCTTTTATTAAAAGTATTCATTTATTCTTCATTCTCCTTCCCCTCCCTTTCTGAGAGGCACCGTGACAGATGTGTGTGTGTTAAAAGTGTCACAGGCAAGATCCCAGCAGGGAGCCACATGGCACAGCTCTGCCCAAGAACCTGTGGAATCTCTCACCTCGTAACAAAGATAAGGCAGCTTTTCCTAGGAATTGAAAGAGGTCTTAACCTCATAAAACCTAGCAGCGTAGGTGACAGGATAAAATTGATTTGAGAAATGTTCATTTAATTCTATGTCTCATATCTTGGAATATGAGAGACATACATAAAAAACCGGGCACCTCGTCAGATGGCCCCTGCGCAGACTAACATTTTGATGGGTCACACGCCCACCTCAGATCATCAGGGGAGCCAGAACATAGAACTCTTACACCGTGTAACGTACAATTTCATAATTCATATCTAAATGATCCTTAGACTTATTTGCAGAATAAAATACCCGCGGGAAGGTTGTCGCTTGTGCAGATGGGAAGTTATAAGCCAGAATATGATTATGAATTATGAAAGATGCTGGTTCTGATTTTGGGTTCCGTCTGCCAGTCCCTCCCTAAACAGAGTATTGGTCAGTTACTCAGAGCCACCCCCCTGCTGGGGGACTTTAAAAAACAGGCTAGCAGGCCTAAAGAGTAGTTAAAAGTCTTCTCCCAATTTTAACATCAACATCCCACCTGGGGAGACCCTTTCGCTCTGCAGCTTGGATCTGCTTACATCAAAGGCTTAAATGGCAAGTAACTTAACCCTTTAACTTCTCCTGTTATCTCTTTGCAGTGCTATGGTTCTTTGTGTGTGTGTGTGTGTGTGTGTGTGTGTGTGCATATATATATCTTAGTTACATCTTTTTCTGTAAATATTTTATTGCACCTGTTTGACTCTTTTAGTGAAAGGAATTTGTGCTTCTACTCACCACTGATAGAATTTGGTTTCCTGTTGAGCTCAAGAGACTGTGTTCTGGAAAGAAGAAATTAGCATGCACACACAGGTTTCCAGAAGACAATCTGAATCTTTATTCGTAGATTCTCCTTCTTATATTGTAACAAAGAAAACCATACAATAGGATTTCGCTGGATACTTGTCAAGGCTGTGAACGTGAGATTTTTCAGACCTTGAAATCAGTTAAAAGTAACCAACAGTTATTTTCCCATGGGACAGAAGTATTTGACTTTTAACTATAACATAGCAGAAACAGGTGCTGTTAGTACAAAAAAATAATTGGTTAGTTTTCATGCCTTGAGCAGAACTAGATTTAAAAGAATACATGAGTGCAGGCCTATAGCACATAACTGACAAACAACTATACATTTAATTATCTAAACAATATAAGATGAGAAAATGGAGGGCGATGAACATACATTTTCCTTCTATCCCCTCTTAAATCATTATTTACATATATGATTTTTATTCCCCCTTATACAACATAGTTCTTTTTTTGCTTCTTTCTGTATTTGGCTAGATAACTGTGATACTCCTTAGGTTTTGGGTTCAGTGGGGCAGTTTGTTCTTGGATCTCTTCCTCATACATAGTCATAACTATACCTTTGTTCATAAGCCTCTTTATACAGGGAATCACACAACACACTATCAGGGCTATGAGTATCAGGGTGACTACAATAATCACTAATATTTGTTATAATACTTGTGTCCATCCCTTGAGCCACCCAAAATATTGATCCCTGAATTCCTTTTCAACTCTTCTGACAGATCAGTTTTTTTATAGCCATAGTGACCTTACCATTTGGTTCCGTGTTGTCTGGGATGTAGGTACAGAAAGTACTGGTTCTTTTTACCATTGCACACACACCACCCTTTTCTGCAAGCATCATATCTAAAGCCATATGATTTTAGAAGGTCATGGCGGAGTCAGCCTGCAACTGTTCCGCTATCCCCTTCAATGTGTCCCTGGTGTAGTTGACAAACCTCTGCTGATTGTAATATATATAAATTTATCAAATCAACATTCTTGTTGATGGTGATGGTTGGAATGATTGACTCAAAACCCGCTTTGACCTGGTCCCTGGCTTTAAACTCATCCGGAACCCCTCTTGGAACCCCTATGACATCTATATAAACATGTGGGTCAAAGCTACCCATCGGGGCCTCCCTCTTGTACCTCTGAGTGCCTCCTGCTATATCTCCAGGGATCTCAGAAGAAATTTCACTAAAGATATGCAGGGGCATAGTAGCTTTGGCCAAAGCACACTCACCAGACCACTTCTTCTCCAATCTAGACCTGATCTTACCATCACCACAAATCCAGTAGATATCACCTAAAGATTGTGTCTGATTCTGTAAAAGCCTAGATGAAATATTGCTGTATGTGTGACAAAAACCTTTTGTAAAATTTCCCAAACTTCTCTTTCTTGCCACTCCTCTATAGCAGGTATAATTCCCTGGGTAAATTTGCAAGCCTTCGCCTGGTTTGGGGTTTTTGGTGATTATGGAATACTTTGCTTTCCAGGTTTCACAGGAAGCATTTTTGTTATGTGTTCCTGTAAAAAGACTTAGGAAACATTCTTCAACATCTTCAGGAAGGTGTCACAAGTTAGCTTGCAGCCTTTTGTGTGTTTACTCTTACCTCCATACTGCTCTTGATTCCTTCACATGTGTGTTGTTCTGTGCTCACCTATGGGCGTTGTCTGCTATTCCCTGGGTTTTATGTTCTTCCCTTCCATCACTTCCTGTCCCACCTCGTCTGCCTGTCTATTTAAGATGTGCTCAGACTGGGCCACATTGCCTGAGCAACGTTTGTTGTTGGAGCTCCCCAGTGTTCTTCTGAATCTGTTTAGTATATCTGTATACCGACCCTGGCTTTGTCCCTGACATTCCTCCTGTATTGTCTATCCGTGCACCGACCCCGGCTTGTTCCTGACATCGCTAGTGTTCCGCCTGTCCTGACCTTGGCTTGCCTACTGGATCTCCTGTCTCTACTCCCATTGCACCCTGCTCCCGCTAGCGGTCTCTTCTACCTTAGCTGGGTGTACCTGGGGGCAGCGACCTGGTTCCAGCCTGCTCCAAGTCCATCCCCACCATCAGGGGCCCTGGTGAACAAGCAGGCTGGGGCTTAGACTCCGCGCCCTGGAGAACCCCAAGCTGTGGTTTTATAGAGCTCACTACCATAGACGTGACACATGTCTACACAATATTAGGACAGATCACCCTGTACCCCTAACAGGCACAGGGTGACCTACACATAAGAGGGATATGGGGAGCTGAGACGGGTCTCCCCACCTCTCCACAGTGAGCTGTGTTCCATGGGCCCCAAAAAAAAAAAAACAGGCTGGGGCTTCCCTGGGGAACCCCAAGCTGTGGTTTTATAGAGCTCACTACCATAGATGTGACAGTTTGCTCAGGCCATGAGCTCTTCAGAGACACCGCAGTCTGTCTTGGAACAACTTCAGGCTTTAGCGCTGAGAGTCGAGGTCCAACAGGCCTTCCAAGAATAGATTATGCATTGTCTGCAGGAACTCTCCTCCCGGTTGGATCAGCTACAGGCGGGGCCCACTTCCATTTCCTCTGCTCCGGCTCCTGCTGTTCCACCTTCCGCGGTTCCCCCGGTGGAACACCATCCTACAAGATTCCAGCTGCCTCCACCACCTCACTTCTCTGGTGATCCCAAGGCTTGTCGAGGCTTCCTCAATCAGTGCTCAATTCATTTCGAGTTAGCAGCCGATCATTTCCCTACCGATCGTTCCAAGGTGGCATACATGATCTCCCTCCTTTCAGGTGAAACACTGGCTTGGGCCTCGCCACTGTGGGAGCGTCAAGATCACACTATCTCTAGTCTCCCAGCCTTCCTGCATGCCTTCCGAAAAAACGTTTGATGTGCCTGGCAGGACTTCATCTGCTGCGGGAGCCTTTCTTCGGCTACGCCAAGGTAGCATGACGGTTGGTCAGTATGCAGTACGGTTTCGCACCTTGGCTTCAGAACTTGCATGGAACAATGAGGCCCTTTCTGCAACCTTTTGGCAGGGTCTAGCAGACCGAATTAAGGATGAACTAGCTGGGAGAACCATACCCTCCATCCTGGATGAGTTGATTGCTCTTAGCATCCAGATTGATATCCGCTTCCAGGAGCAAGATCTGGAAAGGGCTCATCCACGTCGCTTTCCAGTGGGTTCTCTTGCTCCTGTTTTCCAGGAATTCCCTGATCAATTTACCTCTGAAACCGTACCTACGTCTGAAGAGCCCATGCAGTTAGGTCGAACGCACCTTACTCCACAAGAGCGATCGCGCCGCCTAAGATTCGGTCTATGCCTTTACTGTGGGGCTGAAGGTCATCTAATTAGGTCTTGTTCTGTCCGCCCACCTCACACTGTACCCATGGCTGTGGCCACCACCTCTCCGATGCTTCCTCAACATTGCCAGACTTTACAAGATGTTTCTTGTAGTAAGGCTGCTCCCCTGCCTACTCCTATTACGGCCCCCCTTCCGGTGCTGTCCGCCTCTAGTTCCTTACCCTCTTTGCTGCCAGAATCTTTGGTCCCTTTACATATGTTGCAGCTCAGAGCGCCTATATCGCGACCTTTTCGGATGGGTGGAGGTCCCAACATCTGTGACCTCTGTACCATCTGAGTTCCCAGATTCATGTGCCCTGCATGCTGAGACCCCAAAATTCCCTTCAGCTGCTTTGGAGCCAGCCGTGGGTTCCACATTAGTAGCTACTGAACCCTCTGTTCCCAGTCCTGTCCCCCTACACTCTACCGTGCCTTCTGTCTCCTGTACTGCCCCCATACATCCTACAGTGCCCTCTGTTCCTTGTATTACTCCAGGTGCCTTTCCTGCACAGCCTGTCTTGCCCACTATACAAATCAAAGCCTTCACGCCCACCCCTGTGCCCTCCCTGACAGCCTCCTCACCAGACCCTTCATCCCGGTTATTGGTGTCTGCTCCAGCTCTGCTTCCTGTCATATGTTCTCCTATTCTTACTCCTTCCGAGGCAAATGTTTCCAAGAGCTTACATCTGTCTGCTTCTAAGTACAAAGTAGCTGCAGATTGTCATTACCGAGTGAGTCCCAAATATTTCCCGGGTGACAAGGTTTGGCTCTCTACCAAGAGTATCCGTTTACGGGTACCCTTTATGAAATTTGCTCCTCGGTTCATTGGTCCCCTTACCATCCTTTGCCAGGTCAATCCTGTTGCTTTCAAATTCCGCCTCCCTTCACATCTGAGAATCCCTAATGTTTTCCATGTTTCTCTTCTGAGACCGTATACCATCAAAAGATTTTCCTGTCCTCATCATCATTCTTCCCCATTAGCGAGTACTTCCGATCATTATGAAGTCAAACAAATCTTGGATTCTAAATTCATCAGAGGGAAGCTCTTGTATCTAATTGACTGGAAGGGATATGGTCCTGAGGAGAGGTGTTGGATTCCTTCTACTGATGTTTCTGCAACCCGTCTGGTGGAATTGTTTCATCAGAGGTTTCCCCTTAAGCCTGCCCTAAAAAAGTGGGGAGACCTCATAAGAGGGGGGGTACTGTCACAAGTTAGCTTGCAGCCTTTTGTGTGTTTACTCTTACCTCCATGCTGCTCTTGATTCCTTCACATGTGTATTGTTCTGTGCTTACCTATGGGTGTCGTCTGCTATTCCCTGGGTTTTATGTTCTTCCCTTCCATCACTTCCTGTCCCACCTCCTTGTCTGCCTGTGTATTTAAGATGTGCTCAGACTGGGCCACATTGCCTGAGCAACGTTTTGTTGTTGGAGCTCCCCAGTGTTCTCCTGAATCTGTTTAGTATATCTGTGTACCGACCCCGGCTTTGTCCCTGACATTCCTCCTGTATTGTCTATCCGTGCACCGACCCTGGCTTGTTCCTGACATCACTAGTGTTCCACCTGTCCTGACCTTGGCTTGCCTACTGGATCTCCTGTCTCTACTCCCATTGCACCCTGCTCCCCGCTGGCGGTCTCTTCTACCTCAGCTGGGTGTACCTGGGGGCAGCGACCTGGGGAACCCCAAGCTGTGGTTTTATAGAGCTCACTACCATAGACGTGACAGAAGGTTTAATGGCACTGTTCCCACATCGGGTCTGGCTGCTCCACAGACATAACAATTAAACTTGTTGTGCTGCAGGGCACTGTACCTCATCCATTCTAACCAAAGATTTACATCTAAAAATTCAGTCTCCGCTGTCACGGTATCTTCAAAAGAAGGATCAGAGATGGCAATCATATCCTTAAAAATACTGATGTGTGGCTTCCGGGGATTGTAATCATTGTTATTATACGTCTTGTATCTTAAATTTCCCCCTTGTGCCCGATATACCCCCTCCCCAGTATAACCCAAATACATACATTCCCGAATCACTAGGGCTGGGATTTTCTATGGTAAGTGTATATTTGGCATTGGGCTTGGTAAGAGTCATTCTATTTATGAGGGATTTTCCATTCTTGTCCTTCTTATTTATGGCCGTGTCAGGTTTGTATCCCCAGTCAGTTCCTATGTTCCATCCCACTGCTTCCCAATAATCACAGTTACTCAGATATAATCATCAGTTACACAGTTGTAACCTATTCCCTCCCTCTTGTGCGCCCTTTTCCTGCTACTCTCTTCATCCCCTCTATCTGTGAGGTTTCCATAGGTGAAGAAAAAAGTAGCAATATGGGTGTTAGAAGAATCGAAGTACAATGTAGTAATCTTTCCCTTTCTGGTAATAGCAACCTGTGGTTTCTGTGCTGGTATATTGGTTTCTCTTTTGGTCCTAGTGTGTATTGGGTGTGCGTTTTTCTGAGATATTATTATCATTGTTGTTGTTGTGACCACATATAACCTGAACAGCACCCAGACCTTCTGGTGAGTATATGCAGTTGGTCACTATCCATATTGGGGTAAACACTAAAAAGGTAATCAGTCCCAGCAGAATCCATAGTTTGCCAGAGTCCTTGGCTAATAGAATGCTCATCTTGCTTATTTTCAGAGACTTTGTTACCGACTTCACTCACTCTTCGAGAATTTGTATCACCTGCTTCACCTCCTTTAATAGGAAGCACCTTGTCCTGGTCCTCTCTTATGCCTATGTCTTTGGCCACTTTAACTCTTTTCATCCGGCTGGCATGGATCCAGGCTTGCTGATTTTCCACTAAAACTGCGGTTCTGGTGACTGCTATCACTCTGGTCTCTGGCCTGAAAGGATATCCGGCCTTCTTGTTCTGGGATAGCTGCTTGACCACTACGATATCCCCAACCTGGAAAGGATGTGTTGGTACCTGTGAAGAAAAAGAGAGAGGTGCGAGCAACATTTCTTTCAACATTGTTCAAAGTTTCAATCAATTTACGGACATACTCTTCCCTGATCTGATTCAAATCTCCTGCCTCTAGGGTTAAAGGTGATTTAGCCCAGGGAGTAGGGCATGGTCTTCCTATTAAGAGTTTCAAAAGGTGAATATCCTTTGGTTTTGCTAGGTGTCATTCTAATCTCTGCAAGGATAACAAGTAGCATCTTTGTTCAATTTGCAAAAGTGTTCCTAGTTGCTTTCCTTAGTTTGTCTTTTATGGTCCTGTTCATTCTTTCTATTATCCCTGAACTTTGTGGGTGATAGGGAATGTGAAATCTCCATTCTATTCTAAGGGCTTTTACCAGGGCCTGACATACTTTAAATACAAAAGCTGGGCCATTGTCTGAGCTGATCTATAGAGGGCACCCCCATCTAGGAATAATTTCCTGTGTGAGGATATGAACAACTGTCTGGGAATCTTCCTTCATAGTCTTGAAAGCTTCTACCCACCTAGAAAACACATCTAAAATCACCAAAAAATATTCTTGCTTCTTTCCTATCTTTGGCATGTGTGTGAAATCAACTTCAAAATGTGTAAAAAGAGTAATAGTAGATGCTCATGCTTGGGCTTATTTGGTATGTTTGAATTATTACGGATGCAAACAATGCATCTGGATACAAAAACCTTCACTAATTTGGGGAGACCTGCAATGTAAAAATCTTGTAATAAAACTTTACAGGTGTTTTGCCAGCCCGTGTCCTACCCCGTGGTATTGTTCTATGAATAGGGGAGCACTAGCTGCAGGGATGCATGGCTTCCCCTCTTTGAGAAAGAGACCTTTCTCATCTTTTACTAGAATGACTTCATAGCCGCTCAGCCTCTGGGAGGACATGTGCTGAGTGTGTATATTTTTTAGCAAAATAGCTACATTATGTGTAGTGTGTAATGTCGTAGGGTGTCCTAAGGTGAATGACATGGACATCTCTACAGCCATAGCGCAAGATGCTAATGCTCTGAGACACGCAGGCATGCCTTGGACCTGAACTGGCACCATTTTTGAGAAAAAAGCTACAGGGCGAACTCTGCCTCCGTGCTCTTGGGCGAGTACACCAGCCATGGTCTTACATTTGTCCCTTGCATACACATGAAATATTTTTACATAGTCAGGGAGGCCAAGGCCAGGGGCGGTTCCCATTGCATTTTTCAAATACACATATGCATCAACCATGTCATCTGACCATTTAATAATTTCTGACATTTCCTGGGTTGTGGCTTGTCTCAACAAGTTATCATAGTAGGAACAGTCAGGTATCCAATGGCGGCAGTAACCAATGGCTCCAAAAAAGGAGAGCATATCTTTCCTTTCCCCCTTTGTAAGCACAAAACCCAGATATTCAACACTTGTTTTACACCATTGCAATTTTTTCCTTTGACACCTTGGGGTTTATTTACTAAAGCTGGAGAGTCCAAGATCAGACTCCCTTCTGCATAGAAACCAATCAGCTTCCAGGTTTCATTGCCAAAGCTTCATTGAACAAGCTGAGGTTAGAAGCTAATTGGTTTCTATGCAGAAGGGAGTCTGATTTTGGACTCTCCAGCTTTAGTAAATAAACCCCCTTGTGTCCACTCTCAAAAAAAACATTTCAACAAACTCTCCCCATCCCTCAAGCCGGCCTCCTTATTGGGACTACAGAGGCAGATGTTATCTGCGTACTGCAGCAGGACTAATCCATGGACCGGTGTCCACCCCCTCAGAGTGGCCTGGAGGACAATTGAGTAGACTACAGAAAAATCCACAAAAAACCCCTGAGATATTTCACACCAGGTCATCTGGCGGCCGTGGAAACAGAAACCAAAAATGGGCTGTGTCTCTACATCAACAGGGACGCTAAAAAATGCATTTGCTAAGTCAATTACTGAAAAACAATCAGCATCAGATGATATGGCTGTAAAAAGAGATGGCACTTCAGGCACCAACGGGTGGTATCAACCAGTGAGTCAATAATTAGTCTAATGTCTGTGTGAAATTCCTGTCTTTACATGCCTTCTTTAAATATGCTAATATTTTTCCCAGTGTAACAGTGGGCTTGGGACAGTGTTTTGTAATACGGTCAATGTCTTCTACTTCTAAACATTTAATTATTAATGTGTCCCCTACTGTGAGAAATGGATATTACTTGGTCTGTGTCGCCACCTTGTGTCTGGCTCTATCTGCCAGTCCGGGGCTCCCTGCCGGTCCGGGGCTCCCTGCCGGTCCGGGGCTAGGGCCTTTTATCAGATATACCGGACGTCCAGCAAGACGGACGTGTGTCGGCGAGCTCCTGCTCCCCTACTCCCAATCCGCTGCCATCTGGGCGGCAGCGGACCCTGACGGGGGCCCCACGACTCTCCGGTCCCTGCTCGTCAGCCAGGGAAGGCCACTGGACCTTTTTCCCGGAGCTCCGGGACTTGCGGCCTACCCGGCACCCGAAGCCGCGGCCTCGATTTTTGGCGCGGCCGACCCGGATCACCGGGCATTAGCCCGGGCTGCTGCCGCTCTGTTCCCCGGTCCCTGCCAATCAGCCAGCCTCCCCAGGGTCCCCCTCACCGGCCCTGGGTCCATCCCCGACCACCGGGTACCAGCTCGCCTGGAGCAGCCACTTGATCGCCAGCTCTGGCGCCCCCGCGCCCCATCCGCTGCCATCCGGGCCCCTGAGCCTGCTGCCGAGTTCCCCACCAACACCCTGAAGGGGCCACAGACACTCCGTCCCTCCGGCGGTCCGAAGCGGCTTGAGGCCTACCACGGCACCCGAAGCCGCAGTGTTTCCTGCCGGCCATGGCCGGAATCGCGGCGGGATGCCTCCGCTCCTCCGGGGAAGCTACCACCACTGGTCCTGCTAACACCTAGGAGGGATCCACCTCCACCCCGATGCTCCAGGACCCAGGACACCAGGTACTCCACCAGGGGCACCCACTACCCACCAGGAAGCCCAACCACCATCACACCGCCAGCCACCAGGGACACACTCAGGGATCCCACCATCCACCGGAAACCCCAAACCACCAGGGACCCTAAGCCACTATCCCTCCAGGGATCGCTACTACCCCACCAGGGATAGCACGGCCACCATCCCACCAGGGATTGCCTGCCCACCACCCCACCTGGGACTACCAGCCAACCACCCCACCACCCTGCCTTCCGGCACGCTATTCCCTCTGGCGAAGCCCCGGCGACTCGTGGCCCACCACGACCCCTG